CTGTGGTATTTCTAAGAATCTCGATGTAAACCCTTTTGTTTAGTGTTATATTGCTACCGCGACCAAAGTTTGGCATTCTATAGTCTAAGGTTTTAACAATTAACTATTGTTTGGTACTCTTTGAAGCTCATTCCCGCAGCCCACAGAATAAGTTATCACTTTAGTTACGCTGTTTTCACGTGGTAAGTCTATGTTATACCTACGTGTTATATACCTGAAAATGAATAAATTATAATCGTGGACTTAAGCAAAATCTTGCCTAAAATATTATTCCTAATAAAATAGTCATGAAAGAAAATAGCTTTTTACCGTGTTATTTATTTTAAAATAATATGTTTAGCTAGGAATATGAGTCATTTTTGTATATCTGATAATATTATGTATAGTTTTACAACATTAAAGTTCTTCTGGGTCGTTACACTCTTACCAGAGTGGTCGTTGTCGTCACTTGAGCGCATTAAAGTTACCTTATTGATTACTAGGGGCTCACCCTTGCTTCGCTCGGGTTCGCCTCTAGACAAACAAAAACAAATCTATCTATTTGTTACTCTGATAAATGAACTACATATGTTATAGTAAAGTTTCATTAAAATCCAATCAGTAGTTTTTGTGTACTAAGCTGTTTAAGTTACTGTAGTTTTTTGACTATCCCACGGGACTCTTTAATTTTCCGGGATAAAAAGTATCTAAAATGTTGACCGAGGACATAAGATACCACCATGCAAAATATTATTTAAATCGGTCCAACAGCTTCGGAGATTAGCCCGTACAAACAGACAGAGAAACAAAAAAAAAATGAAAAAAAAAATCTGGATTTGTTCTATTTCTCTTCTTAAATCCCCCTGACTCGGTTTTTAGCATTTTTTTCTATGTACAGACATTCGACCTCTACAGTTTCATTATATGTACCTATAGATTATTCTGATACAGTAAAAAGGTTGTAACGAAATAAGAAACAAATGAAATAAAAAACTGTAACGCCCTAAAAACAAAAATACAGTTGTATGTCCATTCAAGAGACCTTTCAACAGTATCAGCTCTATTTATAGATCGTAAAAATATTTAAAATAGAGTAATTTTATTGTTCATGGCGGCATGGCAGCAATAAAAATATATAATATTGTGAGGTAGAAAATATCCGTTCCGTTAAATTGTAACAGTTGTATTTTTTGTTGATAAAGAAATATTTTGCATATTTCAATGTTATTATGTTGGTCACGTTAGCGTTTATTATAAACAGTTCAATTATTTCATAATCATCAACTTGTCTCTACTAAAACGCAATCTAGGCATGTGATGACGCACGAAGCCTAAGAGAATACTTAGAGTCAGTAGTAAAATCGGTTGGTTTTAATGATTGTCGTGACACGTGATTTTCTAATGTAACCGCACGAAGGTATTTGTTATTAGAAACTATATAGATAATAGATGGAGTTATGATATGTATATCTATTTCTAGGATTTATAACACGTTTAGTTTTTGCTCTTCTTGTATACGTACCTATTGATTTTTTAGTAGACTTTAATTAGTAGATAGGTATTCTAATTTACAGTACAGACTCAAAAATAACAAGAACTAAGTATTAAGTATATGTACCTACATATGACGTTGGTTTTCTAAGCCAAATATTTTTTGTAGCGAAATGATAAAAAGATTTAAAATGGAGCAAACTTATTGTTTAAAGCCAGCCATGTTTTGTTAATAGCTGTTGGTATTTAAGAACAATATTTTAAAAGTAATAAAAAACTTGACATTTAGTCACTTAAATTGTAACAGTTTTTTTTAGAAAAACATAACGGTGGCTAATTTTCTGAGAATTAGCGGTCTATCCATATCCTGCCTTTTTCGTCAGAAATTCTAACAGATTTTAATATTTCATTTTGCAACAATGTTATTTGTTGCTTTGTGGCTTAATTTGATTTTTACAAATATTTCTCATTCTATCACTACAATTTTAAAATTATTATGGTAATTATTGTTCATCATATTTTCCATCTTAATTGTAAGGTTTTACAACAATTCTTTTTACTATAATACATATGTGGTTAATTCGTTCATGTATTAGGTGCCTATAGTGCTACGCCTGTACAACTGTCTCACTTATTAAAATTACATAATATTTTACATAATCCTCATTACTAGTAGTATTTAATATACAAAAAACGCATAATTATATTCACTTTTTCAATAATAAACGTATTCAACTAGGTGTCGCTATGCTCTACCTATAGGTGCAGAATTGGATGCACAATCTGTGCGCAACCGTTTATATAGGGCTTAAATTCTTTAGTGTGCTTAAAAAGAGATTGTTATATTTCTATTATTGAAGGTTACTCCTGTAGACCGATCATTCATTTATAGTTTTAATTCCACATTAAAGCTGCTATATTTCAAAATTACCGCTCAATCTCACTCGTGTCTTCCTCACACAACGTGACACTGGCAGAATGGATTGCGTCTGTAAACGCAACTATAAGCCAATATAGAAAAAAAAACAGATTGTTTAAACACAGAACGTCTTAAATGATTATGAGAGGGATGTTTAATTTAGTATTCCCGGTCTCTCCCCCTGACCATAATTGCTATAAAGCATTTGAAACGTCGGGAGCCAAAAATCTAAATAAATCCGAAAAGAAACTGATATAGCCATAAAAATTTATTGATTTTTATGCTTTTTTATAAAAAAAATCCATTTTTTCTCTTCATAAGAATCTTCCTTGGACTTCAACGAATATTTGAAAAAAAAATTTCTGAATTGGTCCAGCCGTTCTCGAGCTTTGCGCTTAGCAACACATTTAACGATTCATTTTTATTTATGAGAATGTTCGCATAAACCTAACAAATTAGTAGTAGATATTATGTATTTTTTGAAGTACCATAAGACGTTAATGTTTGGAAGTAGCCTGTAAAAGCAATTTCGTTACAAAAATTTGAATATCCCAGGCGTGGCAGATAATGGGCTGTGTCAGAGCAACGTTTGCATAATATGATGCAAATAATATAAGGCTTTGATGTTCGCCGCGCGGGTGAGGGACATAATACCTAAGGTAGAATATTAGTGGCGGTGAAGGGCGTTATGATATATAAGCGTTTTCATATTTACATAAGTGCTTATAAGCACTTAACTTTTATGATAAAAACTACTTTCTAATCAATTATACAATAATGTGTCTACACTTAAAACGTACTAAGGAGTACTAATATGTAGAGTTAGTATATTTTTAATACGTATAGCTCATACATAGAAATCGCCCAATACAATTAAACTAATAAAAAACATTTTTAAATATATTTTTATGTGTATTTGCTGTAGGTATAAGAGGGTCGTTTGATAAATCAGTGACTTTTAAAATTATAAAAAAACTTTTTCGAAAATATGTATTTTTGTTTCATTATTAGGAGCTCGTTATTTAACTTACTGCCGTTATTTATTTTTATAAATTGGCGCGATAACAATATTTAAAAAAAATTATAAAAAGTCCTTAATTACTGATGGTTTTTTTTTTAAATTGGCGTGATAACAATATTAAAAAAAGCTAAGTGTGGTGTTGCTTAGTAATGATTTGATGAAGAAACGACCGCACCTACCAAAGAAAATATTATTTTTCACCGAATTTGATTATCAAATCAATCGCGACGCTAAAACTTATTTAATTACGATATCAATTATTGCCTCACGTATTCGCTATATTTCGTCCCTTGTGACTTCTTCCTATTCCCAAACCTGAAGAAAACATGAAGACTTGGTGTTTAAGGATTTTAATCAAATAAACATTAGATAGCTGAGACAGGGGCTTTTTTCACAGTTAAAGGAAAAAAGAGTACTGATTGGTTGAAGATGTTGGAATATCGCTGACTTAAATCTTTATTTATAATTAACAGGAGCAAAAATAAAGTTTTTTTTTCAAAGTTATTGATTTATCACACGGCAATTTTTCGCGTTGCATCATTAGGTGATCTAAATTCCTAAAATATATAAATGAATTATAAAATATGCAGAAAAAAAATGAAAAATCTGATTTTATAAGATAATAGGAATTGTTGGTGCTGATTTTTAACAATCATATTTTAGGGTGTTCAAATTATGATTAAAATTAAAATTTCATATACGAGTAGATACGTGCAGCACTGCTGAAATCTTTTTTTGCATGATAAAAATAAGCTACATTTTGAAATACAAAAGATAATATAAGGCTTTGTTTGATGTTCACCGCCTGAGTCACGAGAAATTATCTATCCTGCAACCTTAGAAGCATCGGTGGCGTCGAGTGATGTCAGCGTTTGGATATAATATATTTGAATAAGGCCTCCTACATACATGACGTGAACTTATATGATATTTGTAATTTAATATCTTAATTCAGAGACAGGGATTTAGGTATAATATTATATTAGTTATTTATAAAAAATATTAATGTTAACAGTTGCACTTACTTACACATTAAATAATTTTTGCTTATCAATTTTAAATATTCTGATCATAACTAAGTTAGTAGTATATAGATATCAAAATTTTATAGGGATATAAAATGTACATTCGTAGTGTTTACTTTTTAAGAGTGTAATAATATGTTCCTCTATGTCCTAAGATCACTCAAGTAGTCTAAGAATCAATTTCTTTGCCGGTTTTCACACCTTCTATATCTGCCGAGACAAATATTGGCTATAGTATATTACATGCTCTATGTATGTACATATTATGTTTAACGGAGGGACATAACTGGGCAAATATTCATAAAGAAAAAATAAATAAAAGCACAGTAACACTTTATTAATCAACATAAAAAAGTCCAATAACATCACGCACACGCACGGTATTCGGGCCGCCTAGGGAGGCACGCGACGGCGGCAGGGCGGACGCGTGCCTTTGCCTCACGACCAACTAGGTAGTAGCGAGCTGCAACTTGCAAGGCACTCGCCAGTCGTGCGACGACCGGTGCGAGAGTCGCACGCGTCTGGCGACATGCTGTGACAGCTTACGCGTGTTTTGTGTATCGTGATGGTGACCGGCATTGGGAGCCCCCAACAAGGGGTCTCCAACGTGGCTATGAGTGCTGACGTGCAGAAGAAGGGAGATAACAGACGGGTAAGTTCATTTGGAGCTTTTTAGTAATTAATTTATATTTAACTTAATTTATATTTATAAACTTTTTGAGAAATCATTGAATTTATGAAATATCATTAAAATATTTGGTTATTATATTGCTTAACAATAATTTATAGGAAAGACTTCAACGCGTAAATTTGTAAATGTATTTTATATTACAAATACTCTTATATCAACTACATTTTAGAAACAATACAATACTCTTATTGTATAATATGAAGATGATTAAAATAATAACTATTTCATACTCTTATTTACACTGTAAAATGTGGATAAACTCTATAGTAGAGTCTATAGATTTACTTGTGACTTTTAAAAAAATAATCTTTTCTTAATTTATTACAAATAATGCTTTACTTATTTTGAAGAGTTTGTTGTTGAATATGCATGTACATAGAGTCTAAACAAAAGTATATATATATAAAGTGCGAGCAAATGTTGTCGTTTATGATGTGAATAAACAACAGTTTTACCTACTTTATAGTGTATTTCTGTTTAAAAAGTATATGTAACGTTTGTTTATTTAAGTAACAATATCACATTTTGTACTCAAGTTTTATTTCTATATTTTAGTTTATTCGGTTTCATCTAATAATTTGAAATATAATATTTCGACTGCCGATTTAAAAAAATAATTATATTAGTGATAAATTACAAAATTACACGACATAAGTCGTTTTTTGGTGTTATCACATATGAGAATATATTAAAGATAATACATGTTAATATGCCTTGAAACATACACAATATTAGTGTCTACAGATTTATGGTTAGCAAGACCATGCAAAGTGCGTCAAAAGGAGCTGAGGCACGGTTGTGCGTGAGATAAACTATAAGTAGATAGTGGTGGAAATGTTTTCCCTTTTTTAAATCAAATTATACGATTTTTAAATCTTTTAATTATTTTATATTGGTTTAGTTGTAATATAGGTTATAGATAAATATCACATTATGTAGAGACATGTAGAGTAATAATCGTATTAAATCTTTCATCTACACTAATATTATAAAGAGTTAAAGTTTGTGAGTTTGCGAGGTTGTAACAATGTAGGGGGGTAATCTCTGGATCTACTGAACCGATTTAGATGAAATTTGGTAAGAAGATAGTTTGAGACCCTGGGAAGGACATAGAGATTTTTACCCCGGAAATCATTCCTTAAGGGGATGAAAAGGGGGATGAAAGTTTGTAATGTAAAGCTAGGGACGAACCCGAGCGAAGCGAGGGTGAGTCGCCAGTTATTTATAATGTAGAACTCACTACTTGCCGTAATTCGATTCGCATTCAAAGGTATCGGATTTTCAATGTCTTCTACCGTGCGATAATAGCCATCATTATATTTGTTTTTTTTTTAATATTTTCATTTATATTTTGAGTGTGATTAATTAAAATAGTATTAGACAGATCTATACGACAAAGAGGCATTATGAGTCAGCATATGTGGGTGGCGTGGGTATCCGTGGGCTAATTGCCGTGGGAATGCTCCCCACGCACAGTACTCTTCGTTTGTACTTAAATAATGTATACTTATACGATATATGTTCATGTATATATACTTATATACCCGTATGAATGAGTACACTACTGCTGACATTGAATGATATACATTTGTTTAGTGATAGATGATTTTTATTAACGACAATTTTAAACAAATTGAAATTCATTAGCTTACATATTTGTTAATTAGTAAATTCAAAGCGCAGAAATTTAAAGTTCACACTATACGTCCTTTACGGAAGCGGATACATTATATGTCTAATTATAATAAAATAGCTTCATAGAAATACAATCACCGCGGGATACATGTAAATCAAGAGTGTTCCGTCACGAACAATACCTGTATAATATATGTGGCTATAATAAGCGGGCGGCGACTAAGCGAGTCGTAAACAAGGCGCGTGTAGGAAGCTATTAGGAGTAGGCGAACGATCCATCATCGCGCGATAAACATCATCGTAGCGAGATTAGACGGCGGGCGATGCGTCTGCGCCTACGCGTCACACGCTTGCGGCGCGCCTGCCGCCTACGTCGAACAAATGACCACAGATTAAATTAAACACTGCCACTTATGAATAACTAGTACAAAGTGGGTCTTAATCGTTTTATTACGTTTAATACATACCTATTAGAGAATTTTCTAAATCGGATTAGCAGTTCCTGGGATTAGCGCATTCAAACAAATAAACAAACAAACAAACTCTGCCTCTTTATAATATTAGTATAGATTATGGATTCTATCAATAAATTACTCAAATATTTTACACCTTCGAAATTATTCTAAATCATTTTCAATTCATTGTGTTATGTAAACATAGTAGGTTCTCTAATCTGTTTGGTAAAATTGGTAACATTGTACTTTAATTTAATGATAAATTAATATAGCGCCATGATTTATTATTGTCAATGGCCATTAGAATTTATTGCCGCGTCCACACGTAGCGCTTGAACGCGTGCCGGAAGCGGCTTCCACTCCCACGCCTTGGCACGCGCCCGGCCTTTGCATGCCAGCGCCGGCCAGTGCATGCCAGCGCCGACTCACCGCCTGCTCCTGCCAAATAATGCGGCCGTTGATATTTTGGGCCTTAGACATAGAGACATAGAGACAGATGAATGAGAAAATTCAGCTTAAAGAAAGATTGAAAAGTGGGAAAAGCTTATCAACTAATATGTATGGAAGTCGGTAAAATAATCTAGTTGTAGCCATAATTTCACACGAATTTCACAAAAAAAAAATTTAGTTTTTAGACGCACTTTATTATTGGCAATGTTTTGAACTAACATTTGATATGTCGCATCTTAAAAAAAAGTCAATAGTATTAATTGGTTTTAGTTTAAAGTACATACATACATCTATGTAGTAAATATTTATATTTCTTTTTCAACTGTAACAGGTTTTTTAATCATTCAAATAGTTAAATAATTACAAAGAGTAGTAGAAGTAGTAAAAAAATTGCGCATTTATAAAAATTGAGATAACAATGAAAAATGTGTAATCATTTGAATGACTAAAGGAAAATGTGTCAGCATATAGAGCACGCGCTAGACGCACGTGTGTCAGCGAGTGACGCAGCGGCCGCGGCGCCTCAGACTAATTCCGTGCCACTGCGAATCGCGACGTTACATAAAAGCTCACGTTCCCGTCTGGGACCGCGACTCTATTTATGCCAATAACAAACATACGTGATTTATTTTTATCCGGTTTAATAACTACTATGTGTATATTCATTTATTTTATAAACACAGAGAGTATAAGTTAGTTAATAATAAAGTATTTAAGATATTATTCTTATTTTATTAATAATAAATATATGTACATATTGTATTGAATTTGGCCTTTTTTATCTGCCCACTGCTGGGCACGGGCTCCTTCAATACGAGGGGAGATCAGGCCATAGTCCACCACGCTGGTCGAGTGAGAGTTGGCGGACTTGACATGTCTGTCCTATACTTGCTAGGTTCTCTCAGTCATACAGGTTTCCTCACGATGTTTTCCTTCACCGTAAGACAAGTGGTAATCAAGCTGGAAATGATTCGCACATGAAAATATCAGAGGTGCGAGACCTGGGATTTGAACCCGCTTCACTCGGTTTCCCAAGCGAGCGCGGTACCACTGCGCTACCACTGCCTTATATACATATTTACGTATATGTATGTAAGGTTTATGGTGTTATGTAGTACAGGGTTTAAAATGTAGCATTTTAACAAATATTTTGATTTAAATTTAAAGAGCTACGGAAATTAATGTCGTATTTATCATTGACATGTGCAAGGGATAGCAGACAGTGTAGGTTGGGGTAAGGAAGTAGATAATAAAACAAAGGCGACATTCGATAGTGCGGGCGTGTACCTTCGCCTCCGTATCGGGCGACGCGGGCGCCACGTGCCGCCTCCACAGCCGACCTCCATAATGGAAAACAGCGTCACTTGTCTATCAGTGAAATCTGCTTTAATAAAAAGCTTATTCAATTAATAACAAGTTATACAAATTAAACTTAGATAAAATATAATAGTAAAAAAAATAATATTCGTATTGAAATATCTATGTCTATATATATAAAAGAAAGTCGTGTTAGTTACTTCGCTTATAACTCAAGAACGGCTGAACCGATTTAGCTGAAAATTGGCAGGGAGGTAGTTTAGAGCCAGGAGAAGGACATAGGATACTTTTTATCCCGTTCGACCGCGTTCCAATTTTTATGATATTTTAATTTTTGGATTTCTCTTAGTCCGGAATAGGTAAGTATTAAAACATATAATTAAAATGTGAGAAAGAAAGATTTTTTCTTTTTATATCTATTTAAAACGTACCTAGCGACGAACCCGAGCGAAGCGAGGGTGAGCCGCTAGTATATAATACAGAAATAAATATATTCATTTAAATTCTTCTATTAATGTGCATATTTGATCATTAAACTAATGTATCATTTTAACCGAGAATATTTCATTATTGTTTTGATCTTAAATATGTCTGTTATATTGATCGTATTTTTGGTATGCACATAATAGTAAAAACAAGGCGCCGCATTTTGCTTATGCTTATTGTATTCAAAATAGTATTGTTCTGTCAGCTACATACACAAACATGACACTGGAGATAATAACGTGTACTATACATATAAAGTGATAGCTAGTCCATATTTGTTCTACTTTGAAGCTTAACATAGAAATTGCGTGTTAATTTTTTTTGCGAGAACATTTATATAAATTATCTAGCGTCTTACCCTCGCGCCGCTCGGGTTCGTCCTTAGTTACGTTTTAACGCTTTGCTCAGATATAAGATATTTTCGCGCAGTAAAAAGTATTCTATATATTGACCCAGATAACCAGCTATTATATCGTGATGCGGCCACAGACAGACAGACACAAAATTTTTAAAAATTATAGATTCGGCGTCTGTATCGATAATAATGTCTATTTCAATAAGATTTTCCAAAAAATATTTAATGTACAGAATCGACTTAGAATTTTATTATATGTATAGATTACAAACTATATACCTACGTTCCAACTGTACTAACGTGCAATGAGTTTTGTTTAGTATAACTGGCTATCTCTCGTGGAATCTTAATAAAAAAAAATAAAAAATAGTACCTGGCCACGGTTCTCATACCACTACAGAAGTAACTCCAAGCGACTTACTCCTGAGACTACGACATGACTGTTGGTTATAATTATATCCCTCGGCAATATTAAGATAAACGTGTTGCATTTAAAGTCATTGAAGCATCACTGATAACATACCTGACATTAATAAATAACGAATAAAACGTGATCGCCGGCGCATTGGAGGTCGCTACCAATGTTATCTGCAACTCCGTCGTCTTTTTATGATACGTCATTCAATGGCAGTCTTGCGTGCTACTTGAAAAATTAATAAAATATAATCAGATATTAATAACGAAGTTAAATTCCTGATGTCATTTTTATTAATTTTTATTTTTAAAAGCCATTGAGGCTGATTCGAATACCATCTGACTAAGAAATTTATATTTAGCAGCTATGGATAACCTTCTTAATGTTATTTCGGAAGCAATTCTCTCTACCTGAGTTCTTAAATATTCTAGATATCAAAGAAAAAATCTTTTTTTATTTATGAACCGATTGATATAAAACAAATACTAAATGCTAAGTGAAGCTTACCACAATATATAAGTGAAAACCGCATCCAAATCGGTTAAGCCGTTTCTGAGATTAGCGCGCACAAACTCACTCTCACTCAAACTCACTCAGACAAATATTCTAAAAATCATTGTTTTGGGTTCCATTGCGTAAATAAAGATCCCCAATGATAGTTTTTCTCAAATATCTTCCATGTACAGACAGCGATCAGTTACACTTGTATTATATGTATAGATGATCACAACAATTAAAAGAGGCTCAAAGTTTATTATAGTAACTTTTTTTTCGTTCCTTAATTTATGTTTATTAATTTATAAATTAGTAAAACGATATAATAATGAAACTAAGCAATACGAGACTGTACAAAAATTTTTTTTACATAGATTTATGACGTTTTGCGGTCATAATTATGTATTTCAAAACTGGCGAATGTTCCTTAGTGATTATGGATGAGTCAAACTATAATTTAATAATTCTGATGATCATTAAATAATGATGTATATAAAATCCAAATGGCTTAGTGCTTATTCATTTCCTTATGTAAAGTACGTCATTGCAATATACACAAAGATAATATATAAGAAATTTCCATGTCATGCAGCTTCTACAATTTACATACAGACTTGTGACTCGAGACTTAGATTTTTGAAAATAAATAATTTACTCTTTCTCTCTTCTACTTTAACATTGGCTGTCTAGAGCCCGGGATCACAGATCATATAATACTGGGTATACTAGTCCGGGACGTACCTACATACATATAATATGATTTTTATTTATGCAACTACTAATTACGTGTCTCTCTTTATAAGTGATTTTCTGTAGTACGGAGAGTTCTATCAGTAGCTTTGATCTACATAAACGAGTATTTAATATATCATTACGTAGTATAAAATAATTTTATGAAGACGAACAAGCAAAAATAGTACAATCTGATTTTATGTAAGACTTGCGACTCACCCTCGCTTCGCTTGGGTTCGTCCCTACTTACGTTTTAACGTTTAATATAGATTTCTCAGAGATGAGATATTTTCTCGCAGTAAAAACTATCCTACTATATGTTGACCCGAGTAACCAGCTATCATGATACCAAATTTCACCGAAATCCCTATTGTGGTTTTTCCGTGTTGCGGTTACAGACAGACAGACGAAAATTCTAAAAACTATAGATTCGGCCTCTGTATCGATAAAAAATACTATTTCAATGGGGATTTTCCAAAAAATATTTAGTGTATAGATTCAGCTCAGTTAGAATTATATTATATGTATAGCTATAGATGAAAGCAATTACATTGTATACAAAGTAGAAGTTTTTTATGGATAGGTATTCAAAATAATTGCAATAAATACATTTTTATTACAATACCACGCGCAATCGGCTAGTAAGATACGCTTAGCTTTAGTCACGTGTCGCGCGTGACGCGGCGTCACGTCCGACTACGCGCCAATCACGGCCTTCACCTTGAAAGACGCACGCGCTCATTATCGTATGGTAATGGATAGTGGTGTCACGCATTTTTCTTGTTGACAACCACTTCGATTTGCTATCGATGTATTAAATCAATATTTGATATATATGAAAATAAAGTACATTTCTTATCGCTAATCTAATATTTGTAGCGGGAACATTTTGGTACTAGAGTACGAATACAGCAACCAGGGTCAGTATCATTCATATTGCATGCAATACATGGTGTTTATTATTATAATATATAAGCATTGCCGCGTTCAGATAACCAAAAACCTAATTCTTAGGTTTTACATATTAGTATACATACTCTTACATTGCAGTTTTTGTATTTTTCTCAGAAATGAGATATTTTCCCGCGGTAAAAAATATCCTTTATGTTGACCCGGATAACAATCTATCACCATACCAAATTTCATCAAAATCCCTCCAGTGGTATTTCTGTGATGCGGTAACAGACAGACAGACAAAAATTCTAAAAACTATAAATTCGGCCTCCGTATCGGTAATAATGTTTATTTCAATAAGATTTTCCAAAAAATATTTAATGTACAGATTCGGCTTAGTTACAATTTTATTATAGGTGTGTATAGATATAAAATAGGTAACTAAATATAAAGAAAATAATCATCTAAATAACTTTTTGTAAAATATAGCAACATAACTATTATGACTTCCCACCATGTATAAAAAATTACATTGATTTTAATAATAATGTTTATTTCCTTTGTTATAGAGTAACAAGCCTATAATGGAAAAAAGGCGTCGGGCGCGCATCAATAACTGCTTAAACGAATTAAAGGCTCTTATCCTTGATGCGATGAAGAAAGACGTAAGTATTCACGTTAATAAATATAAAAAATTACCATACATTATCCATTTAACTTCGACCTTCTTGTGTATAAATACATTGTTAATTACTTGTAAGATAGAGACATTCAATTGTTAAAATAAAATTCGTGAGTTAATTGAATGAATATAATTATAATCTTTTATTACAGCCGGCCCGTCATTCGAAGCTCGAGAAAGCCGATATATTAGAAATGACAGTGAAACATTTAGAAGGGCTGCGGTCGGAAGGGACTTCGCCAGATAGATTTAAGGCGGGCTACAGACATTGTTTGTCTGAAGTAGCTAAATTTCCAGGATTAGAATCTGGTTTAAAACGACGACTAGTTCGCCATTTAGAAGGGTGCGTTAACACACCTGGCTCAAGACCGTTTGCAGCCCCAACACCTCCATCGGATGCTGAAGACGCAGTTGTTCCTCCACAACACTCTACAATTTTTATCTCTGGTAAATGTTTTTTAAGCGAAAAACCACTATATTTTATATCTTAAGCTATAACGCTGTAAACAAAAAGCTAACAGCAATTTTCTTTTTAGCAGGTCCCGGTTCTGGAGTGCGATTAGTTCCAACGAGATTATCCAATGGTGATATCGCACTGGTACTGCCAGCCGGCGTTAATGCGAGCACACTAGGTTCCGTACCTACTCTTGTACCTTTATCTCCTAGAGATATTTCATCGACATCATCAGAACCAAGATGTTTTTCACCTGCTAGTTCTGGATGGGGTACTCCCCCTCCTCCCATCGAAGAACCTGCGCCCCTGGCTTTAGTAACCAGGAAACCACCAGAAGAAAAGCCTTGGCGACCTTGGTGACATTAAAATACAGAATTATAATAAAATTACATTGTACATTGATATTTTGGTCATGCTTTATTCTAGTGTTTGTTTAAATCCGTTACCTTGCCTGTTTCATTGCCGCAAGGATGTGATTGAGTTGGTGCGTGAAATGTGAACTAAAATAGGATTACAGAATTACTTAAGTAGAATTTTGGGCAACAGTTAGATTTTTAATAAAATCTGTGATATTTGTTTGTAGTTATTTAATATAAGAACAATAATATGTACTCATGGATGTGCCTTGACATTTTGTCACCTCCAGGTTTTCTAAGAAATCTATTGTTAAATGTAACGCCGGCTTGTCCGCGGTCGTGGAGGGATTAATAAATGCGTATAAGAAATAAAATAAAATGAAGAGACTTAGCTTAAAGAAGTATAATATGATACATACCTGCATTGGGAAGTTACATATATTCTTTATTTAAAAGAATTGCATTATGCACTGTAAAGACGTGTCCATGAATAAATAATATTGATGTCGATATTTTAGATAGTTGAGTGATAGATAATAAAAGTTCCTAATCTGTACAGAAACATAGTCTTTATTTTGCTTGGTCAGTACTTGTTCTGTGTTATTAAGGTTTTTACAGTATATTACCTTAAATATATAATTTTTTTCTAGTTATAGTCTTCCGTTAATTTAGCTTAAAATTAGATATGATTGTAAATTTTCAAATGACATCTAAGGCAGTATTTCATGAATAGGGACGAATGTCCATTATTATTAACAGAAATAAATATATTTAATATTTCCATATAAGCACTTAGTGCCATTTTAATACATACATAATATATAACGTTTCACGTAATCGTTAATCGACTAAATTGTCAACGCTTAATTTTTAGAGACAGTATTGAACATAATAGTTTTCTTTTGTATAACAAATACTTCGATATAAATGAAAGTAAAAAATATGAGTTTATCATCCATGTCTATAAGCCTGACTTCGCGTACTTGAAGTATTATAGAAACCTCTAAAAACACCCGCGCGCATAAAATTTGTACTAATAGCCACTTCCCATTTATAAGCAAGTGGTGTTATGATTTTTCAATAGCTGATTATTTTAAGCCACATTGGAATCAAAATATAAGAGTTGTACAAGGACAAAATAATAACTAAAGCTGACTTTTTGCTCTACCGCTTAAAAGAGTCGCTTATAAGTGTAATTACTTTTTTTTAAATATTTTTATTGTTCTCTGTAACGTTACACACCATTTAATATTATAAAATTATAAAAATTTCGGTAGAATGATCCTTTGATTATTATATGGTCAGTTTAAGCGTTCACAGATTATATACTTTATATAATTATTGTATAAGCATGTATCTCGTATCATATGTGAGATTTATGTAGGTATTTTAAAATCGTTTACACTTTTAGAAAACTAAAAACAGTATGGGAATGTCATATTTGAGCGTCAGGTCAAATCGTCATTTTCATATTATTCTTGCTAATGAGAAATGTCTATTATCTAAGCCTCTCGCAGATTATTTAAATCAGTAGAATATTAAAGTCATAGAATTCTTTGTGCCTTATACAGCAAAATCGTATAGTCTTCCAATTTAGCTGTAAGTAAATATTTAAGATACATATTTGTATTAATATAATATATATAATGAATTAAAGCGTTGAAAATACAGAATATGATATGCTTTTAAAATAAATAATTAACATGTTACCATACTCTGTAGTCTTTCTTCTTTTGCCAGTTACCAGTCTTTGGTCAGTAATAACATTAGTGTTATATCCAAAATAACATTGTAATTATATGAAAGGATAACTGAAACAAAGTGTACGAAATATAAAGCTAGTGTCAATATTTTAAGGCAAAATTATACAATTAAAATGTATACTGTTATTTGTGTAAAATTATTTTTATTTGTAGTTGTACGATTAGAGAACTTGAGTATAATTATGATCTCTTGCAAAGCACACAGCGTTTGTACAAAATTATTTTAAATTAAAATCTTAATTTTCTATTTTTAATTGTGCCCTGTAAATATTTCTAAGCAGAGATCTAAATGTAAAAGTTTAATAAAGTGATATTAATATTTAAGATAAATTAAATTTATGTACCTAAAAGACATATGCCATTTCAATACAAATAAATCGTATAAAAATGCCTAATTTTTTTTTCTGTTTTATTTTTCTGCATACTAACATAAGTAACATCATTCTACAAATCAAAGCATTTGTGGAAATACATACATATATCCAGAAAATATACAAATTTCATTTTAAGTTTGTGAAATCACTCCGAAGAATTGGGAATTCTTCTGTCTGTCTACATATAAAACGCCCTATCATAGAAGAAGCTGGATGATTTTTTACAAGCTTTTATTTAACTTGTTTGTTTGTTCGGGTCAAATATTGCAACTAAATTTTAAAGCAGGCATCCTTAAACGATTGAGCTGAAATTTGCTTACACGTTTAATTTGGATAAACATCCATGGTTAGCTAAGTGACGTCATTCTAAATCCAATATGGCGAACTCCCTAAGATGGCAAACTATGTTTTTCTTCATGTAACCCCATGATATGTATATCAAATGAAAGGATGTGCTGAGAAGAATACAAATACAATAAAATAAAAAAATAAAATTAATAGTAATAATAATAATATTTTTTTAACAATTATCTACCTAGTAAAGAAAACAAAAAGTAGAGACTAAGATTAATCTCTGCAAGAACGTATATTTTAGGTTTTTGCGATATCATCAAAAAATATACTGACGTCAAACCTAACTTAGGTACTTCTTGTTTTAAAGCAAAGGAAAAACTCTGGTCGAGTGTTTGTCCGGCTAACACTAAGAGTTTCAACGGCTATTTAAACAAGTATATTTTTAATAAACACATATATTTCGATGGAATGAAAAGTTTTTTAGCGTATCTAAGTTGATATTGCACTTGATTAGATGTTTGTATCTATTATTTGACTATATGTTTTATATACCTTTTCCTATACGGTTCAGCATGAGGCATAAGTATTGGTATTTTTTTCGATTCTTCAAATAATTTACATTTATAAATACGATATGCCTAATCTCTATGCATTTCTTTTATAAATAACTAGCAACTTAACCTTTTTTCGCTTGGGTTTGTCCCTAGGTACGTTTTAACGGTATCGGTTTAATCGGTTCAGCGGATCTTCAGTTTATACATTACAAAAAAAATACAGACACAAAAAAAACTTTTTTTCTCTTTATAATTTTAATATAGACTAGCGACTCGCCCTCGCTTCGCTCGGGTTCGTCTCTAGGTACATTTTATTTATTTTGAACGGAACCCTAATTTTTTTACTGAAATAAAAGCAGCCTAAGTTACTCTATAAACATCAATTACCTGACATTGAATGTTCCGTCAAAATCGGCCCAGCCGTTTCGGAGATTGTGATCGTGATGCCGGAACAAACAGACAGACAGACAAAAAATTAAAATATGTGTTTTTCTTATAAATACCGTATATAATTCCATATGCATTTAGTAAAAAGCTGTTATTTTGACATTACAAATAGACACTTCAAATTTATTTATCTGTAAAGATATAAAATTTGCGGACAAATTAAGGTTAATTTATGAATATTACTGTAAATATAGTCTTAAGTACATGTTTTGAATAGCCTGGTGGTCTCAACCGATAGTTATTTGAAGAGTTTTCTGAACAAAATAATTGCTTTATTGACCAAAGCTCGGGTGGTCGTACTTATTCGTCAAAAGATATTTGATTATATCTGTTTGTTTGCACTGTCCTGACGCTAATAGCAGGCTATTGAGGAATTATGGCGGGAGGAGCAATTTACTACAAGCGTTGCCTGGCTGCCTACTGCCTGCGTCGCTACGTTATCATGCAATCGTGCCACCCTGGTAGCAAAAAAATCAAAATGAATACCTTTAAAATCTGTATTTGGAAGTGAAGTGTTCCACACTGAAGGCTAATTAATAATAATTGTTGTCATTACATAAAGTTCCTTGTGGACGTAGAAATGACATAGAAGTTATAAAAAGCTCGGGTTTACGATTTAATATAGGTATGTCTACTAATAGTTTTCGTTAGAAATAATTTGATTTTTATGATATAATTTAAGCTAAATGAGACATTATCATGCGTCCACCAGAATATAATTTTCTTCATTATTAATTTAAAGAATAATAATATTAATTTACCCTAGCTTTTTGTCCTTTACTCCGGTGATATGATAATGTAGGATATAAGATTTCAATTTTCAATTTAAATCCATAACTGCGCCTCGTAATATTACGAATGAAAACTACTACCTAGGGACCAATTCTAGGACTACGATCTCGCATCTACAAATTTTAACTTACAAAGTTTTTCGCAAGTAGGTATAGTTTCATCAAAGCATCTTTAGCTATTCACTTGCTATACTCTATTGTGGATAGCTTCGGCCATAATGGGGCGATAATTTAAAATAATTTTTAACGTAGTCGTAGTAAGCAAATGCACGTAAAGACAGCAGCAAGTAATAAATTTATTATATTGTGTAATATTTAAAGTAGTCAAAGGATTGAGTTATTAATAAAAAGCTCGCTGCAATTACTTGTCATATGAGTTTATCTAATTACACGCTTATTACGCTGTCCATTTAAATTCATAAAACGTGTAATGAATATGAAATTTCTCTAACGACAGGGCACATAATTGAAATATATATTTTTTATAACTTTTGGGAACATCTGTCGAACCACCCAAGTGGTCGCTACGGGCGCCTCGCTAAAATTTACTGTTTTTGCAAGCAATTTTAATACTCGTAATACCCTATAATGATATATCATTTAAACATATTAATTGTTCGAATTATACGTCTCAAGAAGCAAGCAGCTCCACAGTATTTCGGGAGAATGTTTTTCAATCATGTTTTAAAAGGAGCTTTTTTCGGGTCACTATAATTTGAAAAGCCATTAGTACCATGACTTTATTACTGAATATTGGAACGGCAATGCGTGTAGGCAT